TCTCAGTAGCTGCTGCTGTTACATGTTTAAAACAGTTTTAACAAGTTTTTCTGAGCTAATTACGATTAACTAAGGTCAAGGTGGATCAGGAACTTTCTAAAAAGTCCAATAAACTGATCAAATCTTTCTATTTCATATCTTTCATATAGTGAAGAGTCTTTCTTTCCGTCCGTCCTGGTCACAGCAGTTTCTACTAAAATCATTCATCATCGGTATTTAATCCTCTCAGATGTAGAAACTGAAGCAGACTATAATCCAGTTTGCCAGAGAGGGGCGGCAGCGAAAAAAGAAGCTGCAGATTCTGTTGTAATCCCACCTCTGACCACACAGTGGCGCCATTGGACCAGTTCTGCTTCATCCAGGCGGACAAAATGGGTCGTCTTTGATTTAACGTCTAAAAAGATCCCTTCTGTGGGTAAAGTTAGACATTAATAAGTTTCTCTGTGCAAATTAATCCACGCTGGTCCTTAAACCGAGCTGCAGTTCTACAGAACCGCACACTCCTCAGCGGAAACAAACTTGGACTTCTGAAGAAGAAGAGTGACACAGAAAACCTCCACCCTGTGGATGACAGGAGCATTAAGTTTTAAGATTTGTCATCTGTCATACTCTGGAAGTGTGAGTTTCTGAGACTCGTCATCGTGGAAACGATCAGCTGTCAGTTCTGATGAAAGGTGCAGCAGATGGAAAACCACCAGAACCCGGTGACTGGACCTCAGGTTGGAGAGAAGAAGAGCAACGAGAGGAAGAGACGGTGGAGTTATGACGTTGACAGGAGGAGATGGAGAAACTCCATTCAGATGAGTACAAACTGATGACACCGGACTAAGACTTCACTCAGAATAGGGACATAAAGTAGGAGAAGGTGAAGTAGAACGTTCTCGTAGATTAATCGTAGCAACTGCTTCAGTTCCTTGAAGACGTTCCACCTCTCATCCAAGAGGCTTCATCAGCTCTGACTTCAGGAGCCATTAACTCCGGTGTTCATGGCTCCTGAAGGATTTCCGTATCTGGAACTAGTCAGTGAGAACCGATGAAGCCTCTTGGATGAGAGGTGGAACGTCTTCAAGGAACTCAAGCAGGTCCAGTTGCTACGACTAATCCATGAGAATAACCGTGACCTGGAGGACTGAGGATCTTCACAGACATGAAGTAGAACATTTTTATGATTTAGGGAGGAGACAGTAAACTGAAAATCAAACTGTGGTTCAGAGGCTGTTTGAACGTCAACATCTCAGAAACTATTAAATATTAAAACCTGGAAAAATGTCTATAAAGTAGAATTCTATGTATAGTGTTTCTGTTTTTACGCTACAGATTGTCAAACCTGCTCAACAGCTCTGAAAGTTTAACTAAAATAACCGTGTTTTCATGTTTGCAACCAAATATTTCATGTTAAAGTCTTCTACATGTTTAGTTTCGTGTTGCTGTGACCTGCAGCTACACGTGGTTCAGATAATATCACTGGTTCACTTCTGCTTTATCAGGTTGTTTGTTAATGAGCTCAGAGACGGAGCTCTTCATGACGGCTTTGATTGTTTTTC